TTAATTTTAATTCATAAACTTGGATTTATATTAAAACAAATATTGTAGAATAAATTATTTGATATTATACATTTTACATGAACATGACTAGAGAATATGTATTTTTTTTTTACTAATTTACTATTATATATTAATATTATCTATAAAAAAAGATAGATATGTGTTTGAATTTACTATCTTGCGAAAATTGACACCATTTGTTATGCCATGTGTAGAGTAATATACTCCCACTTATTTATCATATTGAAAATTATACTACATGAATTTCATGTTATTATTTAAATAATTATTTTTTTCTTCACTGAAGAATCCAGTGACAATAAATTTTACGATTGATTTAACTTTTTAAATTATATACTAATTAAAATACGAATTTTATCATGATTATACTAATAAATTGAATGACCTAAGCTTACTAATAAATTGAATGACCTAAGCTAAGTTTAATCAATTGATAAAAAAATGAATTGATTTTATATATTTCAAAATATAATAATTCTATATCTTTGGTATTAAATTCATTTTTATTTAATGGCTAACATTAATAATATCAATTGTTTTGTTTAAAATGTATAATGACCGTATATACTATATATTGTATTCCACTAATAAGGATTTCATTATGACTCTAATAAATATAATTATGGAAATATCTAGATCAACACTAACCCAAAAGTATCAAAATGAGTTTGCAAATATTTATGTGCTATTTAATATTTTATTTTGATATTTATATAAATGTATTTGCTCCAACCATAGGTATTAAATCGTTGTTAATTAAATATATCTAATTGCCACATGTTATTTTGTAAATGGACACTGAGGTGGTTGAATTCATAACTCATGTTTGATATTTTATTCACCATGATTGCATAATGTATTTTTACATTTGAAAGATGAAATATCAAAATACCTCATTTCATAAATCTAATGGAATTAAAAATTACTATTTTGGAGAATAAAAATGGTGGTTAAATGTTTTGATAGCTCATTTAATTATCTCACTCGAAGTGCTCTTGCCGTATATAGTTTATATTAATAATTTACCTAATGTTTGTTTCCCTCTTAAATCAAGCGCTTATGGTATGATTTTTGAAGGAATTTTTTTATTACGTGAAATATTCCAATAATGCTTATTATACCCTGCATACACGACATTTCTTTATGGTACTTTTTAAATACAAAAATTACCCTCAGGAGAACTTTACACGAAATATTTATTCTTCTTAAATAACACTTTCACAATTTTTTATTATTACCATGACCACCCCTGAGGGTAATTTTTAAGTTTAAAAAATATGATAAAAGAAATGTCCCGTCTGCAAGGGTAGACTCCATATTTTTTGGGATATTATATAGAATAAAAAAGATTCCGTACAAAAATCACACCATAAGGGGGTTGTGTAAGACATAGACAAACATAAGGGGAATTTTAGTAATCACCGATAAGTGGGGGTGTTTTCTGTAATTTAGTCTAAGTTCAGGAGGATTTTCATAATTTATCTTATTAACAATGATTATTGTTCTTTTACGTCTTAATGTTTGCTTATACCCTTATAATATTTTATATAATTTTAATGTCAATTTGATAATATAATTAAATATTAATTTCTAATATATTTAATATGTGTTTTTTTATGGTTCAACTACCACACATAAGAAATTTGATATAAATGTTCGAGATTGAATAGAATTATTTTTTTTATACTAAATAATAGATCATTGCAAAAACAATTGTTGCAAAATTAGAATTTTTGATTATAATTATAATTATAATTATAATTATAATTATAATTATAATTATAATTATAATTATAATTCTTTGAATTAGTATTAGTATTAATACTAGAAATAGGATTCAAATTGTAATTATGATTAATATAATATTAGGATTAGAATTATAATTAAGATTATGATTATGCTTAGTACGATAATTAGTGACATGTATTAGTATTAGGATTATGATTAGCATTAAGTTTGGGATTAGAATTATAATTAAGATTAGAATTAGAATTAACACTAGCATTAGCATTAACATTAGTATTATTAGTATTAAAATTATTAGGCTTATGATTAGTGTTAGGAATAGGATTATGATTAGGATTAGGATTAGAACTATGATCAGTGTTATGAATAGAATTAGGAATACGATAAGGATTTGGATAATATTAGAATTACAATCATAATTAGCATTAGCATAATAATTAGCATATCTAGATTACATTAGCATCAAAATTACTATTAGCATTAACATTAACAATATTAACATATTAGTATTAATATAGTATTAATAATAGTATTAGTTGTAATATTAGTATTAGTAATAGTATTAGTATTGGTATTAGTATTAGTATT